ATTCATGTGATGATTAGGGGTGAGGGCTACATTTCTCTTAGGTTAATCTAGTTCTCATTTCTTTATTACATAAGTATATTTTTCCATTATAAAATTACTACATAAATATAAGCTTACTGTTAAAAATGAAAATAAATCCAAGTAATGCTAAAGTACACAAAACAAAAAATATTCAACTTTCTAAGCATTCCACATAGGTATTTTCTATAAAAAATGATATAATTTGGTACATATTGTCCAGACCTTTTCTTATTGTATTTCATACAATTTCTATTTCATAAATATATATACATGTAACAAAGTTTATACTATATATGCAAATTTATATATTTAAATACATATTTAAGAAATTTTTAAAAGAATTCTTAACATTTGTATGTTATCTGTATGTGTTTTCTTATATATATATATAAATGGTATCATACTCTGCATATTATTTTGTCTTGTTTACAAGTTAGCTTGTCTTAGAAATCTTTCTATGCTTTTAGCCTGCAAATCTAAATTTTGCATGATGGTTGTCAATTCCCATCTTCAGATACTATAGGTAGTATGTCTTAATTTTCTATCTTTATAACATTCCAAAGTAAACAGAGCACTTCTTTCAGTGACTACGAAAATGAATATTATAAATTTTTCCATTGTAATGTTTCTTCTTAATTAAAATGAAAAGGATTTTAGCAAGTATTCATTCAATTTACAATGATTTTTCAAATCTCTTAAAATGTTTAAACCCCCTATGAACTCATATTCTAATAAAAATATATGTATAGTAGTATACATAAAGAATGCATATGTATATTTAGTAAATCAAGGTCTAAAATTAATAAAAACTAAACTTATTTTTTATAAAAGGAAAAACAATATAATAGAGCAAATTTCTCTACTAATTAGAAAAATTTTAAAAATATGTGCACTATTCATTTTCTGAGTCATTGAGGTAAATTGTGCAAGAGGAGCTGATGAGGAAAATCAAGAGAAGCCGAGGAAGAAATATTTTTAAAGAATTCTTACCATCTGTAAAAAGAAAAATAAACTTTTAAAACGGTTTACTCACATATTAGAATACAGAAACCACAGACAACAGGAGCAACAGTTAGAAAAGCAAGATTAAGTTAAAAATCTATATTATATGAGTCTCTCTATATATAAGAACACTGGAGTAATGTGACTATCACTTTTGTTTTCTAACAGGCAACATTCTGCTATGTTCTTCAAACTAGAAACAGAAGTCAAATCAGGTGAATAGCAAACTAACATCTACTATAGAATTTACTAATCCTGAAAATACTAAACTGGGACCATTTAAATAAGATATGCAATAATATAAGCTGTTAGGTTTTATTATCCAAAGAAGTTAGGAAATACTGTACTATTTCTAATAGAAGGTAAGTTTCATTTTTAGACTTCCATGAAAGAATTAAATGTCAATACCTCCTAAATGGAAAAAAAAAAGTATTCATAAAGAGTGGCATGATATGGAAAGCCAGCATTACTGGTGATATTGTAGCTCGTATGAGTCTTCTGATATCTAGTGAACTGAACACTGTAGCTTTAATTGAAGTTTCAATGTTATAAACAGTTAGATGTCTGGCTCTGGCCAGCATTCTAATACCATCAGCAGAACAGAGATGGGAAGCATAAACAAACCTTTTAACTAGATTACAGTCTCTAAAATGGCCAAGAAATCCTTCAGCATAAACTCCTGTGTGACAAATGTCTAAGGAAAGTGATTTTGGAATAATGGTAAAAAAAGAACAAAAACAGGCTCTAAATTTCTGTCATTACTGGAACTTGTATTTGACTTTTAAATATTTTGATATTGCTTAATATGCATTAATGATAAACTTTATATTTAATTTTCCAACTAAACCCTTTTTTCTCTTACATAGCAGCTGCTTTTTAGATCATTATATCCCAAGGAAGCTATTTAAAAATCAATACTTTTCTTTTGTTGAATCAAGAATAATTCCTTCCAGAAGCATCAGCAAGTGTATGTATATAAAGCCTAGATTATTATTTTTAGGGACTAGTAACATTAAGAATATATGTATTAAGTTAATTAACGCTCAACAGATTAAGTCAGCTTCTGGATTTAAGTTGTATATAAAAAACAATAGCTTTGAACACAAGATTAAATCTAGATATAATTTAGCACTTGGTCAATCTTAAGAAACAACTTAGGTCTGCTTCTAACTTCTGATATATAGTCATTAAATTAAGAAAAGAAAAGGCAGCACAAGAATGTAAGTTATAACCCTAGCAACACACAGAAATTTTTCCTCTCAATGATGGAATCTTGGTTGGTTGGCAAAGAACTCAGTGAAACATGCATGTCCAAAGATTTTTCGCCCTTACAAGGTTGGCAACTAATTTATGTAACTCATTTTTGACCTTTAAAACAATACATCCTAACAAATTACTCAATGATATAGAATTTAATTACAAGTTCTCTAAGAAAAGGTTATATAGATCAGCTAAAATAAGGACTCAAATCAGAATTAGTCACATCCAACTCTGAATGAAGTATATGCTTTTCAACAGGTATGGGTATCATTAGTGATTTTCTTTTCCATTATGTCCAGCTATATTAGAAGATATACCTTAATATATGTTAAGCCTGGTTCTCACCTTGTTTCTTTGAAGAGTTATACTGAGTCTTTCTAATTTCTGAAACCTTACATAACATAGAATACTTCAAACAGAAATGCTGACGAATTAGAATCTTTACTTTTAACTGAAATTACCTTTAGATTATCTAAGGAAATTATTTGGGACCATAAACTTATTCTATCTCATCAATTACTCAGATTGTTCTTAAAAGCAAGAAACCATTTGTTATAAACTTTCTTTTCTGAAGTATAGTAGATGACATAGAATAGTTCTTTAGCATTTAAAAATATTTCCAAACCCCATGGTTCCTAATGCATTGGCATCACACTTATAGGATAACAGAGTCAATGTTAAGTATGTAAGATAAATGTATATTTATTTAGGATGGATATGAAAGTTACTTGATTAATAAAACAGAATTTTTAAAAAATTACTCTTTTTTCCTAAAAGCAAGATGTAAAAAATCAACTCTGGTCAACTGGGTCAAAAAGTATTTTAATGAAGTGCTGCTTTAAAGAAGTGTATCATAATAATGACATTTTAAGAATCCAACAAATTGTCCATTCTAATACTAAAAATATTTCAGACTTGAAGCAGTAGGCAAGAAGACACTAAACTTAATCCTATTAATTTTATTAATTATGAAAATATTGCAAGATAGAGGGTCCAGAAGAAACATGTATATACACCAAAGCACTAGGCAATATAAACTCTCCTTTGTTTAGGTTTCCCACTATCAACAGAGGTATATCAAAAAATTTTCCTGTAAATATTCTTTGGGTCACAAATTGTTGGGTCCTCCAAATAATTTAGCATAGGAAAGTGGTAAATGTAATTCCATGCAAGATAAAGGAAGTTTAATATGTAGGAGGCCTAAGTATCATTTTAGCCTTACAAAGAGAAGAATGACTTTATGCATATTTTATTTTAAGTTGCACAATGGTCTGCATCTATGCTCCTTATAAAGGATTGAGTTTTTTTTGTCTGTCTTTCTGTCCTTGAAAACTTTTAGAAGTTTTCCATCACTCAGTCAATAAGCTACTGGGGCCATGATTTTACTAATGTTTCCCAGAATACTTAGTGACTGATAAAAAGTCTTTATTGTGACTTTGTTTTGGATTAGAAAGTGTCATGAATATGCTGTTACTAACTATTTTGCTGCTATTTAATAAAATGCTCAATGCTGTTTTGTCAGGAGTAGGTTTCCTTGTTTGTAACATGGGGACAATGCTACAAAGTTCACCAGGACTGGGATTGGTAAATTTATCACAGTACTAGACCTATATAATAAATGGTAACTATGATTATTACTAAAATAGAAAATTAAGAATGAATGTGAGAGAGATCAGAATTGATTCTTAGAGTCTATTTACCTTCACAAGATACTGTATCAGCAGGGGATTCCTCCTTCTTTTAAATTGTGAATCAGTATTATTCTAAAAGTTATACTTAAGAGGGCAAAGGAAATTCATGAAATCTTTTTCTCTCTAATATACTTTAAAATTACATGTGAAAGCCATGACAGGAACCAAGACAGTATTCTTTGTTTTTGAAACATCCAATAAGCTAAGAAACTTCCAACTCATTTTATTAAAGTTACAGAAACAATATCACAAAACCAAGATTAAAAATTGCAACTAATTTAGAACAAGAACTGGGAAGTGTCTTATGAGGACCTTGGAGGAACATATCTAGTACCCATTAAAAATTTCAAAACTCCTAAATAGTGTATACTAAAATTACTCCATGATAATTAAGTCATACTGTCAGCTTAAACTATGATAGAAAATAACTAAGTGCTCAAAATGATAAAGTACAATGTCTTCCAAGTAACCATGAAAGACAAAGATAACCTGTTAATATGAGATATAAAAAGGAAAAAGTTACTTTTGAGAAAAAAAGTTTAAGTTGAGAAAGTTTGGTTTTATCTTTTGTTAATAATTTATTAAGAGATACTTCAAGGAACAGTGCTGGTCATCTTCAAATTAAAGCATATAACAATAAAATACTAGCAATGGTAACCACATAAACTATTTTCATAATCTAAAATTAGTGAATTATATACAGAATAGAAATCCCCAGAATACAGTATTAAGTGGAAAATTTTACTTTATATTTTTCTATTTTAATAAAATACAGCAATATCTTTCTTAAACATGCATTTTTCCACCTAACAGTATCCATTTAAGTTAATACAAAATTTACTTAGGTAGAAACATCAAAGTAAAGATATGACCAATACACTTCTAGAATACAATTATGATATCTCTTCACATTAGCTGTAGGGACCACCCTTATTTCTCAGATGCCTAGAACAGTGCCTGACAGACAGTAGACACTCAAGTGATGTTTAATGAATAATCGCTAAGTACAATGTGTTCTGCACATACATTCAAAATCCAGACAAGTTTGCAAAGGTACATAGGTTGGATATAGGTTTTCTGGCTGACTTCATTGGGTCCCACTGATGACTAGCAGTAAATCTTCATATCCATAGAAAACTGGAAAGTTGATAATTGTCTGGGTAAGGACCAAAAAAAAAAAAGTCAGGGAAACATGTCACCTAAGTAACAGTTGTTTTTAAAGAGCTGGTAAAAGCCACCTAATCACTCTGACAACCTACTATACCAGTCACTCAGTGAAATGAAATTTAAGTGTATCCTCAACATTTGCTAGTATGTTTTTCATTGGAATTTTTTATCATCCTTTATTTAAAATAAATTACTTTTGTCAAGTTGTGTCCCGTAAAAGAATTAGGGGGATATGTTTTTACTTATTATGAGTACTATATTGTTAATAGGATTTAACTTGGCCATTGGAATAAAGTGAGAGCCACAGTAAAGATTACCAAAAAAAAAAAAAAAAAAAAAAATCATGGTGCTGAAGAAATTGTAGCAAGGAGGAAAGGATAAAGGAGAAAGGAAAGGAATCCCACATATGGAATAAAGAGATTCAAATACGCCTAACGCTAATATCAATTATGACAAAGAACCAGTAAGGCCTATAGTGCACCAGACACCGTGCTATCAGGGATATAAATGCTAACAAGTCAAAAATCTGTAGTTCTAAGTAATTCATAGACCAAGACTCACAAACAAATATTTATAATACAATATGCATTCTTCTTATATATGTGTGTCTTTAAGAGTAAGAATGATATTTACTGATTAATTGGAAGTGCAGGGGGAAATAAGCACTAGGAGAAGCTGAAAATAATTCCCAAAATAGAAATAATCCACCTATTTAAAAAAGTCAACAAATTATAAATGGACAAAATTATGACTTTATGACTTTAAAGCTATTTACTTTAATATTCTTAGAAGAATATGCCTCCATATAAAACCCTTAAGTGCTATACACAGAATTGTGATTATAGTCTAATTTCTTTGTTTAAATTTTATTTGTTGATTTTGAGAGAGAGGAAGGGAGTTTAGAAAGATGGAGAAAAAACACACATATCGATTTTGTTGTTCCACTTATTTATGCACTCTTTGGTTGACGATTGTATGTGCCCTCACCAGGGATCCAACCCACAATCTTGCAGTATTGGGATGAAGCTCTAACCCTCTAACCGACTGAACAACTAGAAAATGAAGTAGCACATCAGTGTGAATGTCAAGAGACCTGGGTTCTCTGGTCCATGCTCCGCCCACTAAAAGGTCTTGGAACCCTGAGCAAGTTCCTCAAGCTCTTGAACTTCAGCAATATGGAAAATGAAGAGCTAGAGAAACTGACCTCTGAAATATCACCTTGCTGAAAATTACAATCCTAAATTATATCTTAATACTTAAAAAAAATAAGCCAAAATAAAAAAATAAAAGGTTTTTTAATTGTAAATAATTATCCAACCCAGAGGAAGTCTGGAATCTTCAAAACACATAGGGGAACCCTAGGAGGTGGTAGAATAAGGAATGTTTTCAAAGGAAAGCAGAAACAAAATAAGTAAAGGTATTATGCTGAAGACTGTACATTTTTCATACAGCTGGGCAACTACCACCCTAATTATCCACATAATTTGCTTTACTTAAAATTGATTTATTCACTAAGTTCTACTTTCTATCTCTTATGTTAAGGCACTAAGGTATTAAAGGGAGAACAAGAAAACCGAGGTGGATATGGAATAGTATTGATGTTGAAAGAAAAACTTGAACTTGGCACAGATTTCTGCTTAAGAGCACGATTTACACCTCAGAGAAAGGTAAGAAACTGTTCAAATTTATAACAGAAAGGAGAGAAATAAGACCATATTGTTTACTGCTGCACAGCTTTTTTTTTTTCCTGTGTGTAAATGCCTGCTTTGCACACAGTTGATAAAATTTTACAGAACCAATTTCTACATATGCAATGCTTTCCTGTCACTAAAACATAAGAGCATTATGTTTTGGCTTTAACATCAAGATAATAAAAAATTAAAAGTATTATCATGTCTTTAAAATATTTATGTCAAACATCCTTGTAGATTTTTTTCTTCAATCCTTTCTAATTGATCAAATTGCTATTTTCATATTGCCAGTCTGATCACAAAATTGCTGCTTTACAGAAAAATATTTTTTGCTGACATAAATTATGGGATCAGAGATACCAATACAGTAACAAAAAAGGGTGTGAGAGAGAGACAGGAAGAGAGAGAAAGAGAGAGAGAATATGTGTTGCATCCATCTTCAAGGAAAGCATAAAGAAATGTATGTATGAAACAAAATACCATTCTCCAATGTAAGACCTAATAAAAGGCCTACATCATAAACATACTTCCTAGCATTTGTGAAATAAAATGCAGCACTGATTTTGAAAGCCATTCATAAGAACATACCGTGTAAAAACCATGTAAGAATAGTGATTTCTATCAAGATTGTTACTCTGTAAGCCTAAATCTAGTTTCATCTTTCGATGTATATCTAACTACAATGAATATACTAACTACAACTTCATGATTTCTTTTGAGTCATGAATACATATTTTAGAAATCTGCCTCCCTTCAGACATAGTGAGCATTTTGGTTCAGTACCCCAAGAGGGGAAAAACTCGTCTCAATTTACAACAGTAAATAAATAATTCAGTTAAAACCGAAAGTGGTACCAATCCAGCAAACTATTGATGGAGGGGCTTGGCCTTCCATGAAGCCAGAACAACATAAAGTTTTCAATGGGGATTACTTGTTCATACAAGTTACAACGACTGAAAAAAATACCCAGATTAATTATGAAATAGCTTACATTCTCATCTTATGTGGGGAAAGACCAGACCAGTGGTATTTAAACTTCAAGCATTTTAAGCTTTGAACTTTATATGCTGATACATGAAACAAACACTTAGCCACCCCCCCAAAAGCAATAATACAAGTCAAAACCTAACCAAAGGCCTCTATCAACTAAAAATCTGAAATTTCCTCGGCATGTCGGACAAAATGAAAAAAATGTAACCCAGAAAGCAAAAACCAAACAAGTCTGCTCCAACACTGAAGTCCATACCCAAATCACATACAGAACCACGCAGGGGAAAACACTCAAGTCCACTCATGGACCAGCAGTTGCAACACAATCCAGACCCCGACATTTTCCCACTCGGAAACAAACGCAGCGGGGCTTCTCCCGGGGAAGCAGGAGCACAGCCCTCCACACGAATTCTGCAAAGTGACACCCAGAAAGTGTGCCTCTTTCTGTCCCTTTCCCTGGCGCCTCCCCGGGAGAAGGAGGGGGTTGTTTTTGTATTCTCCCCCACTGGGGCAACACACAATCGGATGTGAGCTGGAGGAGAGAAACCACTTTTGACAACAGCAAATATTCACAAAAGTGCCCTTCCTCCTCTGACAGGATGGGCACCCTCCTCGCACACCCCTCCCCACTCCGACCCCTCCTACGCCGCCCCCCCCACCAGCACCACCCCCTCCTCACCCCGGAGCTACACTGCGTACACGGTTTGGTGCTACTGTTGCCCCGGAGTTAAAGTCGGAGCCAGAGGAAGGCAATAAAGCCCCCACAGACACACTTACCTTTCCTGCCCCCCACTTTTGAGTGCCTTCCCTGGAGCTGTGGAGGATGACACAAAGGGTAATAAAGGGGGGAGTGGAGGAGGAGGAGGAGGCGGCGGCGGCGGCGGAGAGCTGGGGAAGTGGCTGCTCCTGGGTGTAGTGAGATGTCTCCAGCCAGGGCCAAGCAGCAGCAGTAGCAGCAGCAGCAGCAGCAGCAACAGCAGCAGAGCAGGGTCTGTGTTGCTAAGAGGCTTTTGGTCTCTTTCTCTCCTCTCTCGCGGCCAAAGAGGAGGGTGGAGGGGGCTCGGGAGGGAGGCTACTGGAGGGGTGAAGGGGTAGGAGTCGTAGATGGGGGTTTTCGAAGAAGAAGAAACTCCTTCTCCTTCTCTCTCTGGCTCAATCCCCCTCTCAGGTCTCAGGGCTGGAGGGTGGGGGAAGGAACTCAGCCGTCTTCCCTCCACCCCCCCTCAATTCAAGGTTGAAGTGGGGTAAAATTAGTGTCCTGTCCCTTTAAAAATAGAAATAAAAGGTGCCCCCCCTCTGCCACTGCCTCTCTCTTCATCATCAGCTGCTGCTGCTGCTGGGGTCTCTCTGCTTTGGGGGGGAGGGGGGGATCGGGTAGAAGAGACGGGAGGCACTCACTGCGCATGTCCCTCACTGATGGGAGGCTGGTTGGTTGAAGGCAGGAGGAGGGGGAGGGGAGGAAATGAGACGGTTTCCCAGAAGGCTATGAGGCTCTGGCGACCCGGAAGACATTGTAGCAGGGGGTAGAGGGGCGGGGCCGAGGAGTAGGAGGAAGTCGCTACTCAGTAACACCCTCCGCCCCCTCCTCCCTCCTAAGGGAAAGTGGAGGAACGGAAGTGGGCGTGGCGGAGGCCAAAGGAGGTCACGTGTTGGGGCGGGAGGTGGGCGGGGTGGGAGAGGCGCGTGCGCGCGGCATGCCGGGAGTAACGGTGTCTCCTTAGCAGCACCTGGTGAAGCTGGTCCGATCCAGCTGCGAGGCGAGCCTGTGGAACGGTTCCCGCTGTGGCTACATCTCGCTCTGCCCTAGTAAGGGCAGACTTTTCTGTGAGAGGTAACGTGGGGGAGGCTGGCCCCTAGTGGGGGCGCCAACAGTGAAAGGCGATCTAAAGGGCGGGGGGGGCTCACCCGACGACATGTTAATTATTGATTTTAGAGAGAGGACGCGAGAGAGAGGAGAGAGAGAGAGAGGGAAACGGGGATGGAGCCGGGACCCTCCCAGGGCACAGGACCACCCTCGACCCTCCAAGCCACTGCACCTTCTCT